TCTGTCATAAGTCCCTATCAGCAAATAATAATAGCTACTGTGTTTATTTGTTTTTAGTCCCTGTGAGCTTTAGCAGTCTGGAAACTTGTTGCAGTTTTCTCCTACCTTCTTGCTACCTAGTATACATCACTAGCATGTTTGTAAGGAGAGCTATGGTGGTAATCTCTAGCTGGACTTGACTGACATGAGTGAACACTCTTCAGATTGTGTCTGAAGCAGCAATGGACAAAAAAAAAATTGCCCCTCCCCAGTATCTCATTCAAATTGGTCTTGCAGCAGCGTGAGCAGCAGCATCCCATTTAAGATATGAGTATGTTGAGTCACCCTATAAAGGGCTTACAGTGCAGAAACAGTGATAGCATGTGTAGGCTACATTAGTATTAGTATTTACATAATGTAGCATATACATTGAACTTTATATCTTTTAAGTAAGATATGAACACTGGTTACTAAGCCAACAAGCACTTCAGAAAGTGTTAATGTTTTTGAGCCCTTAATTCAGGAGTTGCCCAAACCTAATTGGTGTATGATGCTATACATAAGCATGGACGTCATACAGGTTCTGAAGGATTAAACTATTTCAAAAAAGCTTTGTGACACTTAACTCTACCAGCCTCTCTGAAGTCAGTAAGAGAAAGTCAGGAATTGGTGTGTGAATAAAACTTGGGAAAAAACAAAACAAAACAAACAAAAACAACACCAACAAAAAAACACATCAAAATACTGAGAAGCAAACTGAAATGCTGAACTTGTTAACCAGTTTTAGAAATGTTCTAACTTCCCTTGACTCATGTAAGTGTTTTAAGTAGTTATACTAATGCTCATCTGTGGCCTCAGATGACTGAATGCTTTGTAGTTAGATGTCGGGCATCGTACCTGGCATGGATGTAGAGGTACTTCTGTGAAGTCTTCTTAACTTTTCCTTCATCTGTCCAGCAGGAATGCTGTAAAATGTTTTAGTCTGTCTAACTGATGAGTGCAGTAGAGGATTTCTCATTGTGTAGAGAAGAAATATATTTGCACCCATAATCACGACCCATAGGATACAACCTGACTATCTGAGCTGCTGAAGTCTTATCCTTTGTGAAGGCTATGTTAGCACATGGCATTGAATTGGCTCTAGCAGTCAGGTTAAGAGAGGAAGGATTCTGTTTAAATGACAGTGTAATGAAGAAACTACAGCACTGAATTGCAGAATTGCTGGCAAAAAAAGTTTAAGGAATGTAATGCAAGTCTTGTGCAAAGTAGCTGTTTTTTTTTTCCTTGTGTTCTTGTTTGAATGCAGCTGCATATTTTGTTGTTGTAGCTGACGTGAAGCGCAAAATTTGTGCCTATCTTTGGCTGTTATTGGTAATGCTTCTCAAGCAGTTGTTTATGGCAGCCACAGAAATATTTGACTGCTACCTGACTGAAGGGGGATTGTTTGAAAAATGATCTGTGCTGTGAATATATTAAAGACTCCAGGAAACGGAGTTATGTGAACCATGCGACTATTTTAGCCATCTGTAGCTGCAGTATCTCAGTAGCTGACTTTTGCCGTGAAATTAGATTTGTGTGAAAATGGAGAGTGTCAAGCATTTGGAAGTACTCCCATGGGCTCTTTGGTTTTCTGTCCTTATTGTGATGAACTTGCATTTGTGTGTTGTCACTTTTACAAGCCCCTTTTCTGCCAGCTCCACTCTGCTTCAGCTGCTGTGTTCCCTTGCAGGAGAGGAAGAGTTGATTGAGCAAGATGAGAAGGTGACTCTTCTGGAGGAAATGCTACAGACAGTTCAGTTCTATTGAGGATAACACTTCTTTGATATGCTACCATTTAGAGTGTCACAGTTCGAGACTCCTTGAAAGAAGATAGCAGTGAGTACTTTCTTAGACTTTCCGGATGTATCCAAGTCTTTGCAGCATGAGCACCAATAAAATGAAGATATTGGGAATTATTCCTTTCTTAAAAGGTAGCCTTTCATCTTTAGAAAGGCCACCCTACCCCCATACGTGGTAGAAGCAGAAGGTAGAGAGGAGGCATGGGTGCAGGAATCATTAAAGTGAAATGTGAGTCATGTTCATTAAAGGCAAGCTAGCAGAATGTCTGATATTAGTGGCTGTGTAATGATTAGAGCTTCCTGTAATAATGATGATGGCGATTCAACTATATGAATTGAACATTCATTCTAAGTTAATTCACATCCTTTTAACTAATAAGTTACTTAAGGGAACAAAAAAAGAAGCCTTTTTTTAGCTGGCAATTTGAATAGACTGGAATAACACTGAGATAGCAATCCTCCCTCTGCAGTAGAGGGATTTGAACACTAATTTGTGTCTGAACTTTACACTGAAGGTATAGTTGTATTTGTTTATCAATCATTGATCTCTGCTAAATCAGAAACCTTCTTCACTACTAGTATGTTCCCAGTCAAGATTATAATAAAGAACCTTGCTCTAGTGTGAAACTACTTAAAAAGAACTACAATTTTTGGCATTGTGCGGCATGGCAGGAAGATGAGTGATTTGTTGTTTGCCATATAATTATTTACCATCTCAATTTTGAACAAGAAACCATGGTCTACAAATATTACTCATCTATGAGATGTAAAGAAGAATTGTTTCTTGTATACAGGAAAGATAAACTTTAAATAGTGAGGTGTAAAGGAGAGCAAAGTGGTTTAAGCCAAATAGTGAAGGAAAGCTTTGGAAGTAGTAACTTTGCAGTAGTCCCTCAGCAAGGAGGAAAACTTGTGGTTAAAGCTGTTTAAAGGTAGCCTGGGTTTGGGGGATGTGGAGGGGAAGCAGATAAAGTGCCCTAATGAATGGGTGAGTGGATGCACTATGATAATCAGTCTCTTGTGCTTGTAGTTTTGCTCATTCTGGAGATCTGGATCCATTAGTAAATTGAAGACCTTAGAAGCTGTTCCACTCTTGTCAACATCTGGATGTTTGCAATTTCACCTGAACAACTTAAGGAAGTTAATAAAGTGAGTGTTCTCATCAGTTTATAAAATGCTTAGTTGGCATAGGTATGTCAAAGAAAATAGTATAATTAGACATAAGCACTGTGCAGAAAACTGTGGTGTTTGAGCATTGTAAACTTCTCAGATGCAACAACTGAGTTAGTATTATAATTTTCCATTTTAGTATTACATGTATTAAAGTACTACTTGCACTGCTGTACACAACAAGACTACTCATCAAAACCTTGGCTCTAAACACTGCTGAAATTTGGAGGAATTCCAAATTACGTTGTGAAGTGAGAGGTTCAAGCTGAACTTCAGATTAATATAATTTGGCATGAATCTGGATGATAGATTCTAACGCCTTCGTACATTCAAGTTGATTCATTTAGGTTCTAGTATTTGAAAGCATTTTCAGATTTATTTGTGAAGAACTGTGAAACTGCAGGAATTGTGAAGAACTTGCCATAAATTATCCCTCAGGTTGTTGTCTTGTTTTTGACATTCAGTCTTAACTGCAAAGCTCTGTCAGTATCTCTGATCTGATGGAATCATTGCATGTATTTGTTGCATTGTGTGTTAATCGTGTGAAAATGAATATACTGTTATTTGAGATGTAATTCTGACTGGTTGGAAGAATGATTCCTTTTGGATGTTAACAAATTCTGGAGGCGGAGAGTTGTGGAGGGCTTGCTGGTGAGTGTTTTTTCTGGGTGCTCTGCAGGCTTAAGGAGCTGTCCAGTATTGTTTTCTGGGTGAAATTTGCAAATTTTTTTTTTTCTTCTGTTATGATGAGAACTTTCAATGGACAAGGTTTGGTTCTTCAGAAGTGCAATAAGTCGTCCTTATTGCATTAAAAGACCCTCTGGGATAGTGGTATTGGAATACACTCAAGATCAGGCTAGGACAACTTTTTAGTTCTTTGTTCTTCTGTGTCAGTTAAAAAACCTTTTTTAAAAATTATTATATGCAATATGAGATTCCCACTTCAGAGTATAACTCATTTGGAATCATTTGAGAGAAAAAGTCACTTGAAATTTCCTTAAGCAAGAAAACATCACAGAATCATAGAACCACAGAAAAGGACCATGATGACCATCTAGTTTCAACCCCCCTGCTATGTGCAAGGTCACCAGTCACTAGACCAGGCTGCCCAGAGCCACATCCAGCCGGGCTTTGAATGCCTCCAGGGCATCCACAACCTCCTTGAGCAACCTGTTCCAGTGTGTCACCACTCCCCGAGTGAAAAACTTCCTCCTAATATCTAACCTAAACCTCCCCTGTCTCAGTTTAAAACCATTCCTCCTTATCCTATCACTGTCCACCTCGTAAACAGCCATTCCCCCTCCTTTTTATACGCTCCCTTCAAGAACTGGCAGGCCACAATGAGGTCTCCCTGGAGCCTTCTCTTCTCCAGGCTAAACAAGCCCAGTTCCCTCAATCTTTCCTCATAGGAGAGGTGCTCCAGCCCTCTGGTCATCTTAGTGACCTTCCTCTGGACCCACTCCAAGAGCTCCACGTCCTTCCTATACTGGGGGCCCCAGGCCTGGAGGCAGTACTGCAGATGGAGCCTCACAAGAGCTGAGTAGAGGGAGACAATCACCTTCTCCCTGCTGGCCACCCCTTTTTTAATGCAGCCTGAAACAACACTCTAAAGAAGACACTGCTTATCAACAGCAAGTGATTTTGAGTCAGAGGCCTTTGAAAGAAGAACTTTTTTTTCCTTTTAGATCTTTAAATAAATTTTGTTCACCTGAGTTGACCATAGACTGTGTCTCTATAACAGTTTTTGCATAGCTTCTGCCATAATTTCTGTTCAAATACTAATTTTATTGAATTTAAATTGATCATCTGAGTGGATTGCATATGTTTAGACATGAGTTTGGAAGACACAATGTACTGGACCGAGGGCTCAGCACAGTTTATAATCTTGATGTAAAATCTGGCAGACTTCCTAACTTGTGGATGAGCGGTAGAGTCGTACTTTGTGAAGTGCAAAGATCTCGTAGCATGCTGAGCAGTTTTGAATTTCCTGTGAGGCTTACCTCTTCTGCTTTT